CACTGGAACTGTTTGTCCTGTTGCACTTAGGTACTGGAACTTGTCCTGGCATTGGACCAAAGAAAGAAGATAAACAGCTGAGTACTAATTCTCCAGATGAAAAGAAAACTGAGAGACAGACAGAAGCAGCAAGCCTTTGGGTCACTGCAGAAAGGGACCACATGGAGGAGCAGCACTGCAGTGCTGAATCAACATTGGAGCCACACACCCAGTCCACAGGGACAGTGGGCAGGCCTTCTTTGGGCTGTTTATCATCTGGGGATGCCGGTAGAGATAACAGTTTGCAGCTGAGAGAAAGACAGCTCTCTGAGGATGCAGAAAAAATAGAAGGTACAGCTGGGGAGCCTGGAGTGAAACTCCCTCTTGAGCCAATGGTAGATGCTTTGGTTTTAACAGATGCTGATTATATGCCTACTGATTTGGTTCCTTCTGATAAAGATGTGCAAGCTGATATAAATCTGCCCAGATCAAAACATGCTGCTGGTTCTTCAGAAATTGCTAGTGGCCAGCTTGGAAATAGGGATTTAAAGCAGCAATGGAAACAGCCTGATGATGATGATGATGAAGAATCTTCGCGGGACAGAACTGCATCAAATATATGCTCTGGGTGTAATAAAGTGTCTGAGCATGAGAGTACTGCCCATTCACGAGTATGCAAGGAAATACAGAGAACAACAGGACAGGAGGAGAAGGTAAATAATGAAGAACGAGAAGATTTATTTCTCAGATTTTTAAATGGGAACGTAATAGACACTGAAGAATCATTTGCAAACTTAGCAAACCAAGAGGACTTTGACACTGTTCCAGATATTTCACCTGAACAAGCATCTTACAACTCATTGGAAGCTTTATCGCTAGATGACAGCTTTTCTTCTCTTGATGAACTCGCAAGAAGGATAGAGATTGCTGAGGTAAATACTGTGACTCCTATAAAATCTTCCATGTTTATCTCAATTAAAATATTTTAGGTATTGCCAACTTCAAAATGTGTTAAATATTCCTTCATAATCACTTTTTTTAATCTGAAAAGAAATCTATACTTATTTAATTGTTTGCAGTTACTTAAGTAAAAAGTTTCTTTTTGTCTGTCACCTTCTTGACCAGCAGTGCTCTGTGTTTCTAAAAATTAGATTGACTTTTACATATGAGTGTGAACACCTTTTTTTTTTATTCTGACAGAGACTTAGGAAGTGGCCTGACAATTCCTATTAAATCACAGTTTCATGTCAGAGATCTACATAATGCCTATGATGTAACATGTGGTTTGTTTCTATTCACAGAATAAAATTTACTTTCCTGTGCCTATTCCATCTAGGTGAGAACTACATATGTAATAAACTCTGAATATGAATGTATGGGCTTCTAATTTTGCCAAGTTTAGGCAGTTTTGTTGTTCAACCAAGAACTAAGCCTGAACCCACCTTTTTGAAGCACTGCTGATAGGCTTCAACAAGGAAGAGTGCTTCATAAGCTAAATAGCTCTTCTGAAAATATAGAAGATTTTTGGCTTTGGGACTTTTTTGGAGAGCATATGATGACATCTTTGCTTTATTTGTCATCTTGTTTTGGTGCATTTGCAACCATGGGACCATAAAAGCTTTTTCTTTAAATGAAAAAAAGAGATTATTGTGAAATGATGTGATTCCAGATGCTGGAGGGGGAAGATTTGTAAAAAGGTATTTTCTTAGTTCTTCTCTATGTTTAATGCATTTAACAATACAACATCCCTTGGCAATGAAGTAACAGTAGTTCTCTGTAGGTCAGGAGCTAATGCACAGAGACCAAAAACCCACAATCACTCAAAGACAGCAGCCAAGCAGGGAACTAAATACTGGGGATCTATGCTGATGTTATTACATGTTTGGCAGAATCTCCAGAGCTGGAAACAGAGCATTTTGTTTTTTCTCCCCACCTAAACAACATCTTATCTTGTTTCCAAGATCATTCATCCTGATCTGTCCCTAAAACATCTTGTCTTTCAGTAGGATGTCAGGAAGCATGCCACATAGCAGGACTGAGGGCCAGGTGCACAGAGCTGTACAGAAGCTCTTGACAACACGCAGATGTGGAAGCCCACATACATGTTTATATATGTAATCAAGCTTTTGCACTAAATCCACTGGCTCGTGTTCACTTAGAGGATGGTTTTGAAAAAGAGTGTTTTGTTCATGTTGGTGCTAAGCCCATATACGTGTATAACAGAAGAGTCATCGCTCGGGATTAGATTTCTTTTGAGCCCACTGAAAGTTCAGAGTTTTAAGCTACAGGAGAGAACTGTTCTGTTTCATGTAGAAAAGCCCTAAATTAATCCTATAGCGATTATTTTTAAATTGCATTGTTTGTGCCATTTGCATTTTAGAGGATGGGATAGAAAGGACCATATTGGTACTGTTAGAAAAATGATGCTTGTATTGATTGTCCCAGTGACCGATGATGATGCTTTACAGGGAATCTAGTTTCATTTCTAGTTTGCTGTCCTGATGCTTGGACTGCCAGTACTCTGATGGCAGAGTTGAGTCTCTGGAGAGGAGAAAGTACCTTGACTCTCTGTGTAGTACTTTTTCTGGCCATATAAGGCATAATGTTGGCTGGCACTGGTAGGATTCTTTTTGAATCATTCCTCGCAAGAGGCCTGAGTTGTATGTGAGGCCAGGGGTTTAAATCAGGGAGACGAGAAGAAGGATTAATTTCAATACTGATTAAAGTTTGTAATATGCAGCATCTGGGGCTGTTTTGCAATACCTGAAATTTCTAGGTGCAGCAGGGTGAGTTAAGGACAGCACAGCAGCTTGTATTGTTGCACCTATACACTTATATTTTGTTTTTCCAGTTAATCTTGCCACCTGTCATTACCCTAGGTGTTGCTTTTCAGAAGCAGTGAGTGCCTACAGCTTTGCTGGAAGACTCCAGGAATTGAGAGCGTTTGACACCGCAGAGAAAGCAGCACTGTTAACTTACTTTCACTGATTTTGCTTTAGTGCTAAAATAAGATTCCACTGATGTTTTGACAAGCAGACTGATCTTTGCACCCAGCCATAACATTTCTTCCTTTCATGTCCTCCTGAAGCCTTTGAAGTTGCATTGTTCAGGCTGTAGCCATCTAATAAGATGACAATGTTTTCATACCGTAGTTGTGAAAGAAATACCTTGACAATACACTGGTAGCTGCATGAATGAAATGAAATGAGTTACATGAAATGTACCAGTGTGACAGTAAAAAAACCCAAAACATGAATCAAATTTCATTAATATTCTTCAATGGAGGTGTAAAATTAATTTATTGAAAATGGGGAAGTGTAAGTACTTGCGTATGTACTTACAGTTAGGAAGTTTTGTTTGACCCCATATTGAGACCAAAGAATCATCTCATGTAGTTCTCTAATTTAGATCCTTTATGTCACTTCCTTTTAGTCTATCATTTACAATAACTTCATTGCAAAACTAAAATAGTACCAGCGATTTCTTCACTTGTAAAAAACGTGCACAACAACATACAAATGATGGAAGATCACTGTCATTTTATGGAAACTATATTCATACAGCTAACAAAGAGCTTTGAAGCACAGCCAGCAGTTGGCAGCAACAGGTATCAGAAGCATATAACCTCTTCTTAGAGGTCTCTTTGCTGTCATTTCTGTGAGAACGAAACGACGCGCTAGCAGTCAAACAAATTGTAACCTCAATAATGTAAGTTGCCTTTTGCCATATGAAATAAAAGTTTCTACATAAGCTTTTTATCTGAGTGATGATTAGGGAAATGAGTAAAATCTTAATGTTTTTCCTTGTTTGAAAATTATAGTTTTAAATTTCTATCAGAAAACAAAGATAGTGAGACTCTCTGCTACAACATAAGGTAGTAGCTTTTGGTTGGCACTGTTTGTACACCAAGACTTTTTAGAAGTACTGAGCATGCACTGAGTAGCAGCTGATTTGATTGCAGAAATGAAGTCTCTGCTTATCTGTACTAGGTCTGGAGACAATGCCCTGTTGAGATTCCCTGTTCTCTTGTATGGCTTGGGTCCTGTAGTTTTGCGTTTGCAAGAATTATGCTCCTGCGTGAAACGCTTGCACGGTATCTGAGGTATTTATTGTTGGATAAAGGAGCCTCGGTACTTGCATGGTGAGCGTATTAGCAGAAAAATGAATACTGAATCTGCTGAGTTAGCTCCTTTTCAAAGTCAAATTATTCATGTATCTAATGTATTTTGTTAGCAAAGGGATTTGTCTGCTGCTTATAGCTTAACCCAGGGCAGTCTTGCTTTTTGTCAGTTTGTTGTACAGTTATGGATTACTACTTTAAAAAAAATTCGGTATTGCTAGAAATAAAACTGTAGGCCTTTGCCAAGTAACTGAATAAGGAATACAGCCCACAGAAGAATATACAAAACTCCTCGCTGAGCAGTTCTCTGCATTCAGACCAAATACTTCGTACCATGAACTTTTCTTTCTAGATCCCAGTTTTCAGTGCCTCCAGTTTGGGGTTTTTTATTTACTTCTGTATGCTACAAATTATTCCAACAGTCAACTTTAATCTGTTTTCTCTAAAAGCTGGAAGTACAGGACCTTATTTTTATAGTTTAACTTAATACGTTTATACATACATCATATTTAGTGAAAATATGCATAATGTAAGAAGCAGGGTTTTTAATATTTTGTTAGCAAATGCTCTTGTAAACAGAGAAGAGACAGGTAGTTTAAACAGAGCTTATGTTTTCTTATTTTGCAGCCATTAAACTTTATCCAAAAATGTTTAAAAGTTTTCTGCGAAGCACAATCACTTTGTATTAAAAGTGGTAAAAAGAGAAAAGCTAAAATATTTAACAGAGTTTCAGTTAAGTTAAGACAGTCATTGCTGCTTTCCTTTTTGACTGTTGGTCAAAATGCCACCACATACCTGTACGCCATTTTCAGTTCCTGTACAGTAATTATAAAAGCTCCGGTCAAAGGATTTTGTGAAGGCCAGCAGAGCTGAGTGAGTAAGCTCAGTTACATAGATGCTCCAAGAGCATCTTTTGTTAATTAGCTAACTTGGAATTAAGAAAATGATTGATGTTTCAATAGCGTCTTTTATGTAACACAGAGCTGTTTGCAGTGTTGTGTGGTGCAAGCCCTCATTTTTCCTCCTGTGGTTCAAGTCAAGCAAAGACTTGACTTGTGGTCAGCTGTATTAACCACAGTTCCCTCGTTAACTTCTAATTTAAATAATGTGTTCTGCCTTTTTAAATTTCTCCTGCCTCCTAAAGACTGGGATGGAAAAGTTCAAGTCTTGCATAGTAGCCAAGCCCTTCTCCTTGGATGTTTAATTAATGGGAAATGGATCTAATACAATCAGTTTATATATTGCTTTGAAATCCTTCTAAATGAAAAGTGTGATAGAAAAATACATTTTCAGTTGTTTTAAATGAATGAGATTTCATTTGTAGCAAGATGGATCCTGTTCTTACATGACAAACTTACAGTAATGATGTTTTTATGACTGAAAATAAGAAAAATAAAATGTGGTGATGTTTGCATTAAATGTTTTCGAACTGTAGTTGAGAATATGGTAGAAAAAAAGGAGTAAATACTGCTTTATGCAGAACTCCATGTGTGTTTGTATTTGCATTTTAACAATAAACTCTATCCTGATGAGGAGGCATAGCTTTGTAGGTCATTTGTAGGTCACATTTCATGTGACTCATGAAATTCAAAGGCAGATTAAATATTCTAGGTATTAATTACATCCCATGTAAAGGGGACATTCTTAAAAATACAGTCTATGGCTTTTGTCAGGACAGGAGAGTAACAGTAGCCAAACTGATTTTATTGCAAAATCAAAAGCCCTTGCTCCCCCTTTTTAAGCAAAAGATTATGTTCAGCGTGGAGAAACCTGTGCTGTGTCAATTAGTTCTTTATACATTTAGAAGTAAATCCTGAAACATAGCCATGGAGACTGACAGGGAAAGTAAGTGAACCTCATTGTAGCCAGACTTTCCTTCGCAAGCCTTTTGCGTAACTGTAATCACTGAAACACACATTTCCACATAATCCTGTCCAGTATGGCCCTCTGGTTTTAAGCTTGGAGAAGACAAAGCTTGTGACATAGTCATTCAAAAACTACCAAGAGCCAACAGACAAAATGAAGTGTCTCAGTTTGAAGTGACTACTTGCAGAATGGGCCACCACATCTGAATCTTAGGGCAGAGTGGTACAAATGCCCCACTGCCCCTGGGTGACATTCCCACCAGGCGCAGCCCGAGCCACTTGCGAGCACGCGTGCCAGGTGACAGCTATCCTCCTGCGTGGGTGGTGCGGCGGGGGGCAGCAATGCTGTGCACAGAAGCTTAAAATAATCTGCTCTTTTAAAGGACATCATTTCATCTCTGTCCTCTCAAATAAATAAGTCAAATTAATGCACTCCTACGTGATCCCCCTTCCTTGTCACAACAAGGAAGCATAGGTGTTTATTCTCTGGCTGGCCTGATAAATTTTCGTGGCAGTTCTGCAATTTAACGTTACCAGTAGAAGCTTCACGCCAGTGCTCTTGTCTGATGGGATGAGACACTTGTGGACTATTATTTCTGGTTCGTTTGTGCCAAAGAGTGGTCCTTCATATGTTGACTTAATTTCTTTCCACCACCTCCACACTTTCACTACTTTGTAAGTACTTCGTTGTATTGTTTCATTAAATAATCCATTCATGCTCTTGCGCAGACAATCAAAAGGGAAAGTGAATATCGGAAGGGGAAGTGCGGCAGAAATCAGTTTTATCCTCTCAGTTTTGATTTTGGGAAAAGTTGTTAGACTGTAGGCATATACCCACGGTGACCAGCTCTGAGAGTTGTTCCGGGTAATGTTATTTGTCCAGTTGAGGACTATAAAATACTGCCAGACTAGAGAGCTGCAAATGTAATTGCCACATTTACCAGTCAAAGTGCTGCAAATGCCATAGTTGGTTATTGGATTGTGCTCTGTGTTTTGCTGTGTTCAGTGCACCGTCTCTCTGATTACAGCATGTATCGATGTTTTATATAAATTTGTAGCATGAAGCAAGTTAGTTAGTTAGTTAGGGGCATAAGTCATGAAGTCAATTGTTTTCTGTTTTTCTACAGCTTTTATAATTACAATGCAAATGAGTTTTTATACATGGTCTTCTAACTTGATTAGATTTGGGGGGAAGTTAAGCAGTCAGTTGTCTGCAACTACAGTGTTATCTGGAAAGTTGCTTTTTTTCCACTTAGAGTTTTTGTGAAAATTATAGTTATTTGGGGTCATCTCATACATAGATGAGTTGCAAACTCAGTTGCAAATGTGAGACATTTTCTTATCTGTAGCACAAATGTATACAGATTACTTTTCAGTTTAACAAATGTTATTGCTGATCTACAGAATAAGTTTTAAAAAGTACTACTCAGATTTATGAAGAGATGACTAAGACTTTTTTTCAGGTAAAGATGATCTCAAGATAAAAAAGCGCATGTCTAAATACGCTTCCTGATTTTGTTTCTGTTTAGTTCTAGCGCACCAGGAACTGCTTGCTTAGGAAAGCTTTTTCTCCTGATACTTCCCCTACTATAATTTTTTGAATAACTAGGAAATTATGGACTGCCCAGGCTGGTATAACGTCCTAGTATGGCTTAGCATATGCTCCTTGCAGCTAAGCCAAATGTTCTATCAAAGGCAAGAGAAGTTAGAGTTTATTGAGTTGTTGACTGTATCGCTGTTTGTGCAAGCTGTTTGGGTGACCAGCCAGCAGGGAAGGATTTTTGAACTGCTGCTGTGTCCAGAGAGCTTATTACAATGTGGTGCTGAAATCTATTCAGAGCATTGAAGCTGTCTTCTTCCCTGGCATTGCCTCTTTTTGGTTTTGTGGCCCCACTGCAGCTTGTTTCCCACCCTGGGGAACCAGTTGCAATGCTGGAAAATTAATCTCACAATGAGTATTTGATAGTCTCTGCAGGATTATGTCTTTGTAGAGGTCGCAGCAGTCTGTCATTGACTTCTTATTGCCCTCTGACGGTAGTGTTTCTGACGCGAACCCTCCTCACCGCTTCCCCAGCTCATGTGATTTAATAACGTGAGCTTACAAAGGAACTGTTGTAGTGAATACAAAGTATGATCCAAACGGTGAATGTATGTGTATTTAAGTTTGATTGCAACTAAGGGCAGGTACTGTCAGCAGAAGGATAGTGCAGCTGTCCTGCACATTAAGGAATTGTCGTATTCGTGAAGTAGGTTTCACAAGTGCTGCAATGTTTAAGAAAAGCAGAGTGGAAACCATTTTTTAACTGTTTAGCTCATTTCCTCCTTAAAGTCTTTGTTAAATAGATCTCATGCTTGGATTTCTCACATCTCTTGTGCCACTCACTGTCTTTCCTCATAGATTGCCCCAGCGGAAGGTTTGGTGTCTATCCTAAAGAAGAGAGATGACAGGGAAGGAAAAACAATTGCTCAAGTACAGCAAAGGCAAACAAAGAGAAGAGTACGATTCCAAGAAATGGAAGACACATTGGATCAAGGTAGTTTAAAGCTGTTAATCCCTGTTTAAAGCTGTTAATCCATATGTATTTGCCAGCTCTCATTAAATTTGGCTAAACACCTTACTGCCTTTTTGATGGGCTAAACAGCCTCATAAGAAATACAATATATTATTTTGTTATGCTTTTCTTGGAGTTTAAGATCTCTATTATTCACACTAAAGAGTTGTTAAGAAAAATACTTTTGGTTACTAATGGTAGTACTTTCTATATCTACCGTGTGTGCCAGCTGCTAAATGGTATTAATGGAGGTCTTAGTGCTTAAAAGTGTATTAAGTGTATCTCATACACTGAAAAGAAAATCCATTCACTGCCCAAAAGCGAGCTTACCTCGTCTTTTTCTTTAAATTACTTGAAAACAATTTATGTTTTAAATAAAATTTCAGTTAGAGTGCCTTCTATTTATATTTTTTCCAGGAATTTAGTAATTCAAAAGGAAAGCTGTTTATTATTTTAATCTGATTTCAAACACACAAAAAAGTGCTTGAATGTTTCTTTTTATTTATTGTGCAGCATTCTCATAGTTAAGTGGATTTTGCTTCAGTATGGAATGACTCTGAAAGTGATGTCAGCAAGGACAGGTACACAGGCTGCAAAAATGAAGCTATGTAATTATTTAGGTTTCTGAAAAGACTAGGGAGAGAAACATACAGTTCCTGGTATGTATTATGACCACTTTCACACAGCGAGCACTATTAAATGTGTTTACCTCCTGACCCATTTATGGTAAAAACCTATCTCGGATTTTCTTGCACACATTCATATTGTTTTGTATATCATCCTTTTTCACCTTTTCTGCTCTTGCATTTACAGATGAAGTAGCTGGTGGCTCCTGTATTTTGCTGATCCTGCTGTGCATAGCAACTGTTTTCCTTAGCATTGGAGGAACTGCATTGTACTGCACCTTTGGAGACATGGAATCCCCTGTGTGTACTGATTTTTCAGCCAACATGGATTTCTATTATACCCAGATATTGCAGCGTATGGAAGAACTTAAACACTGGATAGCCTTCTCATAGTTGAAATGAGTGGAGACAGCACATTGAGAGCTCACCAATGGTTACTGGAGAGGGCAGAAAAAAATCATGATTTCAACTCTAACACTTGCCACGTGCAGGCGATACGTATGTGATGACGTACTTACACTTTTACGTAGAAATCAAGAAAATTCTAGTTTAGCAATCAGGTGGCAAAATGTTCAAATCTTAAGCTGTAGCAGTGTGGTATGGGAGAATAAAAAGTTATTCTTTTCACCCTTTTGGGAGTAGACAGTAGCTTTTCGACAACTTGAGCAAGTGAAAAAGAAAGAAGAAAATTAACTATCTTCTATATGCTCTCCCATTGCCACACATTGTAAAGCAATCTCTGGAAGCTCAGTAAAAGGACAGCTTTAATTTACAGCTGTTTGTGCAAAGGTGTTGCCTCCAGCTATCATGCAATAAGTCTATGTTTTATGGAAACATTATTTTTCTTCTAAGTCTTACTATTTTTCTCCATTTTAATTCTCCTGGTGAGCCATGTAGTTATTTGGGTGGAGTGAGAAGAGTGCAGCAGCATTCACGGAACCCTCATTTGGTGATTAACAGGCTGACCCTGTATTTTATTACTTACAGTGAATATCATTAGCGGGATAAATCTGCTGGCAGATTTCACTAAATTTCCGAGAACTTCACTCCGAGTATTGTGCGGGCTGTTTTAGAAATGGAAAGTTAAAATAAGAAATTATTGGTTTCACTAAACACAGAAACAAAGTAAGATGTTTAGTAAATTATTCATGTTAAATAGTAAAGTGGCTTTGGCCAATTTTAAAGCACCTGGTAGCAGGTGTGGGGCTAACTGGGTTTTCTGTCCAGCTATGTCACTGACTTGCAGTAATCACTTTGTGCCTCAGTTTCTCCTCCATAAATGAGGAACAATCATCCTTGCCTTTGTCTGTGAATATTTATTGCAATTAGGGCTCATGTCCGATTCATCCCAGATGAGTGCACAGGATCACTGAACTGTGTGGCTGCAGCCTCTCCCAGTGAGTGAATGCTTATGTAAAGTGGGACTGATCAACAGAAGAGATTCAGAGGCTCACTGCAGACCCACGGCATGTTAGTAGTCCAGGGCACTCGTTCCAGCAGATAAAGCACATTTGCATCTATTTGCCCTGTGGTTCCAAGACCTGTATTGTAAAATCTGCTCTTTTTCTATCAGCTATACAAACAAATTTAAGTCAGTACCAAGAGTCGTTGTAAATGGGTATTTCTATCACTTGGTGCTCAGCCCTCCCTGCCTGGTATGCGAGAGAAACACTGACGTGATTGTGAAGGTGAGAGGTAGATACGCAGGCCTTTGGCCCTCACTCTGGTCAAAATGTGGCGACGGTTCTTGCACAGAGCATGATGGCCTCGCCCTGCTGAAGGTGTTAGTGCGAAACGATTCCTTTACACCTCAGGAAACAGCATTTTTGAGGGGTCCGCTTCACTCCACTCCATGATTTCCTGCTTACTAACATTGTATGATGCAGTGTGTTCAGGTGTAGAATATTATTTTGTAAAATACTAAGGAATGAAATCTTCAAGGGTATTGCTCAGAATTATAACATTAAATGATCATGCTTTCTGGCATTTGCAAGCAAATTGTCCCTCTAGTGAGCTTGATTGTTCCTAATGCACTGTTACACTTCACGGGTTTTTAAAGTGAAAGTTAAAATCACATTTTTTTCTAGAATAAATTGCATGTATGATTTCTCTTTTTGTTTTCACTGCAGAGGCTTTGTTTATTTAGACCTTAAGGGGAGCCTCATGTGCAGCTTTATATTAAACTAGGAAATTTAAAACGCCCAACTTAATGAACACTTTTGCTTTCGGAGTGAAACTTGAGAACAGTAGTTTGGTATATTTTTTTGTTTGTTGTCCTCAGAGTATTATAATGCTGGGCTAATCTAAAGGAGAAAGGGAGAGACACTTTTGTATTTTAAAGTGTTACTGGCTGGTTCAGTTTATTATTTGAAGTCTGGGTTTGTTTGTTTATTTATTTAGTTTTTCTTTTAAAGAAAATCTTAATTTTCTTTGTTGGTAATTTACTCACAGAGTAATTAAAAAGCATGCATTCAGTTAAAATATGTATTTATAGTGACAATATAGTTAGAATATATTTTGGGTTTCTGTAACTTTGCATGGAGTGTTTCAGGATATTAATTTTATTCCTAAAGAGATAACTGTTGATTTCAGGTTAAAAACATATTTTTATTTTTTTGTGCACTTCATCACCAAAAAGATCAAGAGGTATATATAGAACTATTTATTCAAAAGTATATCAGATACAGAGATCAAAGATCTTCTACTTCTAAGTTCATTTAATTAAAACTATTTTAAAGCAATTATTTAAAACTGTAAAGCTATTTAAAGTCAAAGCAATTTTTAATAAGCAGTTCAGTTTAAAATCAGTGATCTAAATCCTGGTATGTCCGCTTTGTGCTATATTCCCAGTGCAAAGGCTCACTAGTATCAGCAGAACTGCCTACACGCAGATCATGAGAAGGTTGGGCACCACTTTACCAGCACCAATGAAAACTGTTCTTTACCAGTACCCAATGAACAATGAGTGGCCAGGTGTTCCGTGTAACTCAGCTCCTTACACTTGTGTTGTAACTTGGAGCATCTCTCCAGCCTTCTCAAGCCATGCCAAGGTACCACACCTGCTAAGTCTCTCAGGATTTGAGGGAGCGGAAGGGGCACATACGCACAGGCTGCCCGGCTCCTGATCTGAGATGTTCATTCCTCAGTTGCAACCAAGTAGTTGAAATCTGGATCTAATTTCTGTTGGCATTCCTTTGTAAAAAGCTGATTGTACTAATTCCCGCTTTGTGTGACGATTCCGTTAGTGCAAATAGTTTGCATGATCTGGTGGCTGCAAGCTTGATAATGTACTACAATGTAACAAAATTTCCCTTGCGTTGAACTCCAGAGAGTGTCCGGGTAGGCTGGGTGTTGGCCTTCCTATATCCTCTGTCCTCTTTGATTGCTGGTGACATCGCTTCCAGCAGGGTGACCAGAGGGGTTAGGATCTTACAGTCGGGTAAATCCACACTAAAAGAAATAGTTGATTTGAACAGTTATTTCTCTTGTCTGAGTATTTTGAGGTAAAACAATACAAAGCAAGAGCTAAGATTGTTATAAGGAGGAAGAAAACAGAGAAAAAAGGTGTTGGTTTTCCCCCCCCTTTGCGCGTTTTAAAGCCCTTTGTGTATAAGTTTTTATTTATTCTGTTTCCTCCCCTGCCGCTGTCTTTATGGCTGTTCTGTTTGGCAGTAGGGGAAACATACTGCGCCAGCATAAAACCAGTTGTAGTTAGTAGGAAAATTCAGGGAATGGTTCGGTTCTTGATAGTAATGAAAAGTAATTTCTGGATTTCAGGTTGATAGTGTGGCCGCTTAATCACCTGCAGCACTCTACTAGAAACCCCCACCTTCTAGTTTATAGCATAATTGTTCTGAAGAGATTCTCGCAACAGAGCGAAACCAACAAGACTTTTGATGTAGATTGAGAATACGCTGCCAAAGAAAGTTTTCTGATGACATAATTAACACTCTCACCCCTAACAGCATAGAGTACACCAAGAAAAGCACTGTGCTGTGGCTTAGCCACACTGTACTACAGACCTGTTTTCAAAACAGTGTCAGTAAGGAGGCAGATATTCCACGGCCCAGATATGCCAGCAGAAGTTTGTAATCTAGACACAGCTCATGTTTTAAAATGTTTCCAATACCTTTGCTTTCATACTTGGAAAAAGCATTGCCTTGGTGACGAGCAGTAGGAAGCAGTCTAATGAAATGGGAAACTCTGGTTTAGGATTTTTAGGAGTAGAGGGCAAGCTTGAACTATCAGTAAAGCAGAGTAGACTGGAATTCCAGCTTCTTGTGTGACTGGGTACTAATCCACTCAATAACCTAAAGGGATGTTACCCTCTTAAGAAAATATGTTTGCCTACTTTGTACTGTAATGTAAACCCAAGACCATCTGAAAGGACTAATAATTATTTGTAACAAATTAAACTTAAGCTTCCTTTAGCAAAAGGAGTAAATAACTGTGTTTGAAACTGTCACCCAAGCTTGTAATTTAAATACTGTAGCAAAAAAAATAAAAATAAAAACTGTCCCAAAGAAAATATATGAACCTTTTTGGGTACTGTGATTTCTCAATGTATAAAAAGACCAAGATTTTCTGTGAAATTCAATTAAATGAGCAGTACCTCCAATAAGAATTTCATGGTCAAACCCAAACCAGAATGGAAAACGAGGATAAAAGGCCTAAGGTTTAATCTGGTTTTTGGTGTAATGTAGTTTTCCTGAGTGGGTTGGTTTGTCTTTGTTTTAATAGCCAAACAAAACCCCAGCTTCCTCCCAGAGCCTGGTTCCATTAGACAGATGGGTTTTAAGTACTAAAATGTTGCCTTACTGCGTTCTTCTTGGGGAAAAAAAAAAAAGAAAGAAAGAAAAAAGACAAATTGGCAGGTGGTAAGTTTCAGAATTCCTAGTAACTGGGTGGGTGACCTGGATAGTGGTCACAAGCCAGTCTGCACTTTGAATTCAATTAAATAAATAAATAAACCCACAATTCCAATTAAACCCAATCCAGCAGCCTCTGATTTGAACAGGAGCATGCCAACACTACGTTTTGGAACATTCTCCCCCACCCTTCTTGGCTCTTGCTTCAAAAGCCACGGAATGAGGCCAACCAGAATTTTAGACTGCTAAAAAAGTAGTGAAATCCTAAGAGAAAATTAGTTTTGCACATTTTGGTTTGTTATCTTTGTGTTGTTTTCAAGTTATTCTTCACAGAAAAAGTGAGAACTACAATGAAAAGAGAAAAAATAAGAGATTTTCATATAACTTCGTCTAAATTTGTGAGATAACATCTCACAGCACCAAACTAAATCAAAACATAGTATCTGGCAACCCCGAGGTGCAGCCTAAGAGTCGTCTTTATGTGTAGAAGTCAATTGCTGTTGTAAACAATTCTTCTGTAAAGAC